TTGCCTCTGGACATCTCTGTTTCAGCGGGGTATACCGGATATCCACCTGAAGAGACGCAACTATCAAACCTTTAGGTTTCGCCCCAATTCCTCCCACGGACAGGAGGTATCATCTATGGATTTTGTGTGGCTTGCATCATCATCGCCAGCATAGCCATCCCTGGAGAGGCGCTGTTTAATTTAGGAGACGAGAATGAGAAGGACATCTTCAATAACGACGAGCCCAGGCTTTTTTGAGGGGCCGGAGCTTGCGGCAAACACGGGCTTTATACAGGAAAGGCTGGCGCCCTTCCTCTACCATTGTGAAGTTGCTGGATGAGCTAGTAAGGGGGCCTTCCGTCAATTTGGTTTCATGCTTCCACAAGCCAAGCCTTGAAACTAGAAATCCCAAGCATCAAATCCCCTAGATTCCCCCAGCAACGGCAATTCAGGAGTCGATCTGCCCCTTCATTTTTTCGTTGAAGCGCATGCCTGCCACGCAGACAAAGTTGGCTATGGAAGGACTCGGGGTCCTACTGTACTACCTAAGAAGGAGTCGTTTTGGACATGCACACAAGAAGTGCATGCATTCTTGTTGAGGTGTATGCCTGAGCCTACAGCCGAAACTCATGGCTTAGTTTATTTTTCTTGTTGATGGCGGGCGGCTTTTTTGTCCTTGTCTGCCTTAATGAGGCAGGTTTAGGTGGTTTGGGTGCCAGTGATGACTCACCACTTCCGGACCAAAATTGACATTGGAAAATCTTACGTGCCCGAGCACGTTTTGCTACCCACAGTAATTGCATTGCTTCTGCTGAGGCAGCCAAACCTTATCGGTGCGTAAAGGCATGAGCCTGTTGCCTCTTCATGGGGGGATGCCCTCAGCTTCAACCCCGAACCCGTGAACCCGAACCCGAGGCAAAAGCATTGCAGCCTCCCTGCTGAAATCTATGAGCAGCAAACCATAGCAAACCCCGGCGAGGTCCTAGCCTTAAATCCTCGCGCTACGTCCAAAGCCTTGCTCGCAAGACCCCGAGGATTGACGTACGAGCGCTTGAAGCCCTATGTCGGGGATCACATGATGTTCCCCTGCTTGAGTCCAGTGATTTAGAAGTAGACAATTTGTTTCACATTCAACACTTCTCCGCATTTTGTGTTCCACTAATTCCCCGAGTTTGCATTGGCTTTGAACCGGGTGCTTAACTTGCATCCCAAAACCCCAAGAGCTAAGCCCTGCATAGCTGCTGGAGGCTCTTCAAAGTTCTGTCCTCCGGGGGGCCTCGATGCTTCAGACGCGCTGGATGTCATCCATGCTCTGAAGGAGTACAGCAGAACACATGCTGAGAACTGAGAGCTTTGACAAGCTTCCAAAGTGGCGGACGGAAGCATTCCCTTCCAAGAAGGGAAGGAGCCCGTCTGTCTGGCCATTTAGGGGAGGTTCATCCCCTGATGGTCACTTCTCAGGTTCTAGACTTTAGAATTTAGGCGCTCAGGAAGCCCGTGCAGACCCTGAGCGTGCATAAGAAAGGTGCAGCCAGGCAGGAATGGTTTGAAGTGTGCCATCGCATCTGCAAAGCAGATCAAGCCACTGCAGCTGCTCAATAGAAAGGATGCAAATCAAGTGCTTGCCGAACGCGCACACGTCCAACACGGCACATGAATTGAGCTTACCGCCCTCAGGTCTCAGAACCCTGAATGCTCGAACAGGTCTCAGGCTTCTGTTCAACCTGATGTACCGGGCTCCAGGCTTCCAAGCTTCATTGGGTACTGGGTTAGTACTTTGGCTCTCACCCTGCCATCTAGAAACACGAAATCGTAACCTCAGCGCTGTAGTAGTAGTGGTAGACTTTGGCACGCATCCACTCTGCAAACATCACGTCGCAGGGGACCACGACCAGACCACACCACATCCTTAGCTGTTGGCACGCCTTGGCCGCGCCCAACGGGCGTTCAAGACGTCATTGCGAACACCTTCGATGTGACAGAGGATCGCTTCCTCGGTCTTACTGGCAGCTTCTGTAGGCCACCCCAGCCGTCTCAAGAGAGGGTCCTCAGGTCTAGGAGGTCTGCTCCTGGGGAACTGCTGACACGTCCATGTGACATGCTCATATGAAGCCTCAGATGCGCCACAATATGGGCACTTGTCATCTTCCGGCTGAGCCTGGTGTCTCTTGGAGAACATCAAGGGCGACACGAATGCTCCTGTAAGAACCGCAACGCGGTGTCGGCTCGCTTTCTTGGCCATCTCCCTAACCCGACGCGCCCTACTCTCGGAGTAGCGCACTTCAGCCAAGGCGGCCACCTCATGCCTACCAGAGTTGACATACTCATGCCACTGAGAGCGACGCCAAGTTTCCCTAACAGCATGGGCTTGCCGGTTGAAGTCCGGCGTGAAAGCTCGAGAGCTGGGATCAAGGCACACTTCAACGTCCTGTGTCTCATGACGCCACAAGCATGGTGCCACCTCAGTCCACGCGAGGTGTCGCAGGAAACACCTAAGTCTGGCAGCAACTCCGCCAGTGTGGGACCAGTCCTTGAGCATCCTGCCCTGCACCTTAGTGGCCCGGTGCGCTGCCGCTAAGGCCTTCATGCTGGCCGCGAAGCGGACATCCAAAGAGTGTCCCAAGATCAAGCGAATCAAGGGCACAGCTGCGACGCTGTGATCGTAGCCCGCTCTCTTGAACCTGGTCTGCAACCTGCCAACCAGCTTTTTGGCCGGGCTACGAGTGAACCAGCCCCAGGTTGCCTTAGAACTTGCGGCAGTAGTCACTGCAAAGTGTTTCTCAGAAGCATGTACTGGCGCAGCCAAGAGCTTGGAAGCAGTAACCTCCGCTGCCTGCACTCTAGCCTCCTCCTTTTCCGTGGCCTTGCCTCTTCCCAGGCAGGCCCCCAGGGCATGTAGGTGGTCCGTCACCCTTGCACCTAACTCATCACAGCAGGCTAGTCTACGTCTGCCTGCCACGGTAGCGTGGTTTTCTTTCAGCCCCAACTGCCTGGTGTGTTGAAGCCAAATGTCGTACACAAGCCTAAACTCCCTGAGAGTGGCCGATCCCCAAGATCTATCATCCAGGAACACAGCTTGCGTAGTTTGTCTAGCCTTACGAGCTATGTCGTCCATAGGCCCTCTCAACACCAAGTTGAGAGCCCATGGCGAGAGTGCGTCCCCTTGAGGGATAGAAGCTCGCACAACACTCATCTGTCTGGCCACCTTGCCTTGCCAAGTCAAGATACGTTCTTGCGATCCCCACACCTGCTGGACCAAAGTTGCGATCCGTTTAGGGAATCCATGCCAATCCAGCGTTGATAAGGCCCTTTCCGGCCTAACATGGTCGAAGGCTTTTGCCAAATCCAAACTGGCCACGTAATGCCCTATGCTGTAAGACTCGGCCAGGACCGTGAACGTCGCCGCGGCGTCTCTGCCCCTGCGTCCTCCGGCCTGCTCCAGAGGGAATTCTCCAGCGAGCCAGTGCTGGGCCGGTTCAGTCTGCAAAATAGCACTGACGTAGACCCGCCACCAAGTGCTAAGAATGCTAATGGGACGCAGCTTGGATGCCTGAGTGGCATCGTCGCTTTTTCTTGTAGCCCCCGGCTTTGCCAGGTGGATTTGCCGCAGTTGCTGCCACGCTTGTGGCACCGCTTTAAGCTGCTCAAACAGGGTGAACAAACTGCACAAGTCCTGCCACATGTTCAAGGTGAAGCACGAGAGTTCGTTCCCGGTCCATCCGTCTGCTCCTGCGGATTTAGCCCGTTGCTTTCTTGCGGCCTTGAACAAGTCCTGAGGAGTTGCCTGCGGCCCCTCTTGAGGATCCCTTTGCTGAGGCACGAACCGTTGCAAGTAAGTGCGTGGCTCAACTTCGTCCGGCTGAACCTCTCTATCCCAGACCCCGGCCCAGAAATCCTGGAGAACATCAAGGACTCCCTGACCTGTGTGAGCGCTTCAACTTCAAGAGCCTTAATGCCGTCCTCTGTGTGACCACTGTGGGAGACTAAAACTGTGTAGGCATTTTTTGAAGCATGATTTTCTCACGACAAAATCGGTGAGCAAGTTTCTAGAAGCATCAGAGCAATCCTGCCAGAAGGGCGGGGCTGCTAGAATTTCAGGAGAGAACTCACATAGGGCACAGGACAGCTGGACAGCAGGCAACCGCACAGCGGCGAAAGCAATTTTGCGGATGTTTGGCTTGAATATGCAGGCAAGTGAGGTGCCAGGTGGACAACTGTGCTAAGTACTGAAGCCAAGGCCCCAGTTCTGTTGGAAGCTTCCTTGGGATGCGCAGGTGAGCTGCCAGGTGCGGCTGAAAAGATTGCACCCCGCGAACCCTTCAACTCCTGAGGGAGGTTCCTCGAGCTTTGTTTTAAGGTCATTACAAGATTCCCTGCCAAGCCGTGTTCTCTGCATCGCTGGCGACACCATCCTCCGACTGCGGGGATGGTGCAGCTAGCACCATGTCAGCCAAGCATACTGATTGCCAAGCATGCCACCACCCTGCTGTCAAGATCATAAACCTGCTGAACCACTTGTGCATTACATGACGTGCCTCATGCCATGACAAAGCTGGATGCAGCCTGGCTCTATCGGGGCCTGTGCGGGCTGGCATTTCCTTGCACAGCTGCACTTGGAGGCGAGTGCAGTCACCAACACCACGTGTTGTCTGTTGACTTTTTGCGCGCCTTGCCAGGGATCCAGGGATGCTGCTGATCGTTGATCCCCGTGTGGATTAGGACTAGGCCATAGGAGGGTCCTGGTGTTGTCACACATTTGGCACTTTGTGGCTGATGGAAAGGAGCGGCCACTTGCATGGGGCACAACCAGGATGTCGGTGAGCCTCCAAATGTCCGAAAGGAGTAAGTGCACGGAATGACATGCTGGCAAGGCCTGGACCAGCTACGGTTGGAAAACCTCAAGGCCACCACAACCCACAACTGGAGCCATGAATTCTTCAAGAAGCATTGCCAGGAATGTGGTGCTGGTTACGTGCTGGAGCCGCCGGAGAGCGTGTAGCTCGGAGCTGGGGTCGAGGAATGTAACTAGCACAGCAGTACGTAGTGAACGCATAGCAGAAAGAGGAGAGTGAAAGGAACCCTATCACACAGACACTCGGATCTACAGGCCTAAGGCCTACCATTTTAATCATCTTGGGTGACTTTGCTCTTATGCATTAGGGTGGCACATTTCCCGAATGATTTCTGTGGAGCTGTGTGGCTGCACTGAAAGTGATTGGTAGCTGACTGTGCCCCATGGGCCCATGTAAGGTGTAGACGCAGCCGTGGTTTACAAGCAAGCCTGGCAAGAGAATTTGCCTCACAAGCGGTGCTGGCAGTTGCTGTTGCAGTTTCCGGGCTTCATTCCAGAGCTGATTGGCTTCACGCATTTGACATGTAGTTCCCTCTCAAAGCCACTCGATCCTGTTTTGTCGTAGTTTGGGGTCGACTATCGGGCTCGAAGGCTTCTGGGTGGCCTCGTGTCTTTGTTGTTTCTGACATTGCCCTGAGCATGCCGATGAAAAGCGGCGGCAACAGCTTCCGGGGCTGTCAAGCAGCACTCTATTTTGCGCTGCGTGAAGCGCATTCATTCGCATCCGCCAGGCTCTACCGCGGTGCGACGGGTGAGGCTCGACTGCTAGTCTCTGTCGTAGCTTGAAGCGCCAAGATGCGCGAAGCGCAAGAAAGTTTGTCGCCGCCATTGGTGGACGTGCTCTGTTTGGGTGCCTGGGGACGTCAGGTGAATGGGCAAGCGCAGAGAGTTTGGGTACGAGACCCAGCTTTCGCGTTAAGGGTTGTGTGCCTCTTTTGTTGGGTAGCCTGCTTACGAAGGTAGACTTTTTGGATTTCTTGCTTAGACGGAGAACCTCAGTATTGTGAACTGGACGCTTGCTTGGCAACAGTGGCGAGACAAAGGTAGACTTTCCGACGTTCGCATCTCAGTTTGAGTTCAGAGCAGCGGCCATGACTAGCATTTTTGGAAGAGACAAGAGTATTGGTACTTTCATTGATATTTCATGGAAGAGGCTGCAGCTGAGCTGGGCTCCGTACGACACGCAGCTACCTCAAACACGGTGACGTCAAGGGAACAGCAGACGCCAGCTTGATGTGACAGTGATTTAGGCCTGCTCAGCAGCAATGTCGCCTGTCTCTCCTTGACGTGGCCTCTTGCACGGCCACATTCCCACACAAGGACATGCATTGGCATGCGGTATGGAAATGCAGATATGGTTCAAATCGGCTCCATGTCGCGAAGCCCGCAGGCTTTGGATGACCATGGTGAAGTTCTTTGCGCAACTCTCTCGCCATTTGCGTTTGCATGAGAATATCCTTCCTGCAGCTAGTCACAACCATTCAAATAGTAGCCGGCAGCATGCACCTGGCTGAGATGGAGATTTGGGGCCACCGTCTGGGAAATGCAAGTCTGAAGCATAGCGCTTGTGCAGAGTGAGGGGCAAAAAGACCTAGCGCAACCATATGGAGCTTAGGAGAGGCGGCAGAGCGCAGTGGGAACAGCAGGTACGGCATCTCGCAGCGCGACACGCTGTGGGCTCAGACAGAGCTGAGTGGTTGTGACACTTGGGCGCGCGCAGCTTCATGCTATGCAAGCAGGGCGGGTGTTATGCTTGTAGCTTGCCTGGATAAACATCTGTACTTAGCAGTTACATGCATCACTGGATGGATGCCGCATGTTGTTGCTGCTTAGCCGTAGCCCCCCGAGGCCTTTGCTGGCTGTGGAGGCAACAGCGTATGCTGGGAGCTCAGAAGATTTTGGTCGTTGCCAGGCATGGTGAAGACAGTCTACTAGCATCCGTGACTGGAGGCTATGCAAGGCTTTGCGGAAGCTTTGGAGCTTGGCGCTCGAATTCTACCTGGCAGGCTGCAACTGAACGCAGAGGGATTCTTTGGATGTCCTGAGGAATCTTTTGACCAGCCGTGACAAGGAGGGCAAAAGCAAGCCAGCCCTTCCTGTTGAAGCAACCTGACATTGGGGTTTAGTTCAGCTTCGCCAGCCAGGCTGGAATTCATCCAGAGATCACTTTTCCAGTACCTTTGGCCCCGGCCTCATGGAGATTGGCAGTGGTTTGTGTCTGAAGAGAAAAGAAGCTGAGGCGACATCAGGGCGTCCGCCTAGCGGAAAACTCTGAGCAAGCTTTGTACGAGGTGACGTGCGAGAAAGACCATTGTCAAGACTCGTTTGCCCCAGAAAGATTGTGGGAACCACCCTTAGCCGTCACAAACGTCACGAAATCTAGCGGAGTTAGGCTTGAGTTGGGTCTTGCTTTAATTACCCTTACTGTAGTCAGAGCAGACAAGGTCTCGAAAGCATCGAGAGATTGATTCCATCACAGGTTGAGCGGGGGGCGGCCTGGTCGATATTCATTGTTCCACAGGAAGCTTGACATTTGAGTTTGCGGCCAATTCCCTCACAGGAAACGCTGCCGTGAGCTGGGTATTCTTTTGGGGTGGATCCACTCATGGGTTGGTCGACTTGCTTGTGTTTACTTCACATATTACACTTGCGTGGGCATAGTGCAAATAACATCGTGCCTGGCAGTTGCCTGAAAACCCCGCTCATGCTTCTGCAGTGTTCACTCGTTTCTTATATGAAAACCATGCCCGGTCGTGGCAGCAACCCTCCATCCTCCTCCTGCAATGCAGCATCGACGTCTTTTGCGTTCAGCTTCTGCTTACCCCTCAAGTTGTAGAAGCCTGGCAGGAATGACCTGCGGTCCCAGCATTGAAGTTTCCGTACTGACGCAGGCCCAGGCCGTGCTGGCTTTCAACCTTGATCCCAAGGCCTGAGACCTGCCTTATTGAATGCTTCAAGTTGCTCTGTTGCTTTTCCGAGGAGGGTGTCAAGTACCTCAAGGGTAAGCTTGGCAAATCCAGTTCAGCTGAGGCCGAGCGGCAGGGCCTGTGGCCTGAGGATCTTCTGTGTCTTGCTTCTCTGCGCAGGTGGGAGGTTGGCTCGCCCAGATGTCCACGGTTAACGGAGGCGTCATTTGCTACAGCAAGTGCTGACGACATGTAGGCGCCCGTGTGTCAGCAACAGAGGCCTGGACCCGACCTTGCTGGGGAACTACTTCAGTCGAAGAGACTGTCTCGAGGCGAGCTCAAACCGAAAGCAATGCTTGTCACAGGGATTTTCCACAGCAAACACCAGGTCTTCCGGGAATTTGTTCGCTGCCTGGATTTCGCAGGGATGAATCTGGTGGTAGCTTTGAGGAAGTGCGGGCCCTGGAAAGCATGGTGGCAAGACCAGTGATAGTGAGACATGAGGGGCACCAAAAGAAGCTGTCATGCAGCGATGGCTCAGAAGAACAGAATGTGCGAAGTGAGAGCCCAGTGATGTTGCTGCCGCATGCTGCCGTCAATGCTGTCCGTCGAGTCAATGGCAGCCCCTTCCCTGCCATGACTCAGACTTGGCTTTCCTGATCTGAGAGACTGATGGCTCCATCACAGGTCCAGAGAAACCACCTGGCAAAACCACTCTGATCGCAGGGTGCATTCCTCCTGGCCTTGCAGACAACTTATGGGTCTCGCTCAGAAAGATTGTTGCTAAGCAGCTGCCAGATGCTCCATGTGCTATGCCGTCAGCAACTCCGCCGAAAGTCCCAACGACGCCTGCTGAAGTCATTGTTGGTTGAGGCCACTTCTGCCATTTCTGATGCACGCAGGGTGCTAGAATGGCAACGGTCCCTGCAGCTGTTTGCCACCTACCTCAACAGGGTTGAAACAGAGCAGCTGCCGGTGGAGATGCCGATTTTCAATGCTGCCATCACGGAGACCTGTTGCAGATGGCACAAGTGTAGTACAGTTGTAGTACATTTTAGTGCTGGGGCAGGAACATGGGTTGGTCAGTCATCTCAGTACTGCTCCAGGCATGCGAAGTTGGAAGTCGTTGGGCCGAGGCCTATTGCTACAGTTGACTTGATATGCGCAAGGCAACGGATTGGAGTTGGGGCCATGCAGGCCTTGGCACTGCTGCATTCAGCCGAGAAGATTGGCCTGATGCCAACTGTTGCTTAGCTGCTGCTGGCTTGATTTGCTTGCTCCGTCAGTGGGCATGTTGTGTGAGCTTATGTGAGGTTGTCTCTCTCACTGCAGCCATGCCTGAGCCTCGGAGCTCTGCACTCCTGTGTCTGGTAAAGTTCAAGCCGACAAAGCGACTGACTGGAGCCTGTTAATATCTGGTAATTACGGTGGTTAAAGGTCGGCCTGCCGACAAGGCCGTCAGTGGCAGAGGGCGATGAAGATCTTCGAAAGCGCAGCAGGTCGAAGAGAGATTCTGTTGGACGAAGGCCTATTTGGCACGGCCATTGCGAGTGCCTTGGGCACGTTGGAAGTGCGTGATGTTGAGCCGGATAGAAAGCTGCCTAAACTCAGAGCACTGCCGGTGCCTATGTCGGGCCCCTGGTCGGCCCCCAATCAGTTTAACAGAAATGTTCAATCATCAACTCAGTAGCCTCTCAGCTGTTACACGCGTGGGGCCCCCCTTTGGCAGGTGCAGCATCCTGGCAGCGATGGGAGCTGGCCTTGCAACTCCTTAGCTCTGCCTCCGAGCGACGTGTAGTGCCCAACCTCCCAATGATGAATGCGGGCATTTTGGCCTGTGAGAAGGGCCGGCAATGGGAGCTGGCGTTATCGCTCATGCAAGCACAGCATGGGCGCCTCTCGCTGATCACCCTAAACTCCACATTGTCGGCATGCGAAAAAGCAAGGCGCTGGGAAGAAGCCTTGTGCCTATTTGGCGGCATGCGGATGCAAAGCCTACAGCCAGATGCAGTGAGTTGGACGGTTGCCATTGGCGCGATGGCAGCAGGCCGCCTCTGGCAGGTTGCCCTGCAGAGCTTCTGGAGCCTTTGTCGTTCAAACAGGGCATCACACACAACCCATGCCACAACACTGTCTGCTTGTGAACGGGCCCTTCGCTGGGAGGAGCTTTTGCAGAAAGTTGTTCCTTGATCAGCATCTGATTGTTGCAAGATCTGCTCCTGTTCGCAGGATGCCCTACAGCTGTTGCAGCTGTGGTCTCCGCTTGGTGGAAGCTTTGAGGCCTTCAAGCCTTTAGCAAGTAGATGATAAAGACCATAAGGCCATAAGGCCATAAGGTAGAGTAAGCCGGCACTTAAGCCCTAAACCCTAGACCTAACCAGTGCTGGCAGTTGGCATCCATCGCGGCCGCTCGCAGCAGCAGTTGGAGATTGGCTTTGCACCTGGCGCTGGAATCTGGAGAATTCGCACGGCATCACGCGTCCCAGTGTCTAGACCCGTGGCGGCATTCCTCGGTAGTAGGACTGGCTGGGATGGGCAGTAGATGTGCTCCAAGCCTCGCAAGGAATCCTCTGGCTGCTGGGGCCACAGATGCCAGAGCCTGCCCAACTCTGAAATAATTCTGGCAGTTCGTCGCCTCAAGGCTCGACCAACAGCTTTTAGAGTTTGGATGCGCTGCAAGTGTCAGACTACAAGAAAATTAGCCCTGACAATTTTAGAAGAACTGGGTGCCGATGTTGAACCATAATGACAGCGATAATACATATCAGCCAACTCATCGCAACTCCTGGCAACCTCCAGGTGTCTTTGCCAACGCCCGGCTTCGGAGAAGCCTCTCTCAAAGGCTCCGGATCGCAGATCAAGTGGCTGGTGCATCCGGGGACAGCGGCCAGCAATGTATCCGGGCAGCAGGCAAACCTTCAGAACATTGCAGCAGGAAAACAGCAGCGGTGATCTTTTGTGTTCCAGTGCTCGCCTCGCACAGTTGTTCCAAGGCACTGTGGTGCTTGACCAGCCGTGACTTTGCGGAAGAGTTTTGCATCTGCATGGGATCTCCAGCTCTGTGGGAGAGCTATCGGAGCTTTTGAGGGAGCAAAGAGGCAAAGACTCTTCGCGGTTGCTTGCGGAGCTTCGGCTCCATCTCACTGTAGTCATTGCCAGCCATTGCTAGTCAGCTGGTCAAGCCACGTCAAGCAAGGGAACTTGGCGCTGTGCTGCAGAATTAGGCTGAGGGACGTTGCCACCTTGTCATGCGATCCAGTACCCAGTGAAAGTGTCCGTGGAAGAGACATCGCCTAATTTGAAGCACTGCATGGCTTTGTTGCCACCACCACGCCGCCGCCTGCAATGCCTCCGACTTGCCGCCAAGTGCCGGGGCAGACATCGATTGACTGCAGGAGCCTTTGTTGGGGGGGGATTGGCGAATCATGTGAGCTATACCAAATAATCTAAACTAAACTCTTAACTCCTAGCATCCCCCTGAGTGACCCCTAGAATACCCGCCTGCTTAGCCTTCTTCATCCTTTAAGAAGTTCAGACTATAGTTCATGTGGCACATACGTCTGAACAGCCTTTTGATCTAGCAGGAGCCCGACATCGAAAGCCAGCTTCAATCCATCAAGCTGGGGAACCTGGTGAGGCCGGCGAGTGCCATGTCTTACCGGTGGTGAACTAGGGAATCAGGGCATATATTATGTAATAGGGATTGTAATATATATATATACATATACACATATCCATGTATGTACACACATATTAGGATCACATAAGGTTTATATTCCCGGTTTATATTCCCTTGATTATTCCCTACTCACGGCCAGTCAGCTTACCTTGTCTTCCTTGTCCGCGGCTTGTGCAATCAGCCCTCCGCTATGAGGCGGCCACCCGAAAAGTACAGCAGCAGCTGCAGAGCCTGCAGGTTTGGCCTGTATTCAGAGTAAATCAAGTTATTATACGATGGGTCTCTAGTGAATATTGCATTGTGGCAGGCGTCTGTTCAGGAACTTACATTCAGTCGCCATGATATGGGCACACGGTGAATCATAGGGTTTCCCAGCGTCAGTGACTTAATCTACGTTCCTCAGCAGCAACCGGTTTCGTAACTGTAGTCATCCAATTAAAGTTCCTTAACAGCAATCCAGTATATCTTGATTTGACTGACTAGATCACGCATTGCCTTGCATTGCCTACGAGACCTGCCGAGACCAAGCACCAAATTGCCAGTAGATCTCCGGCAAGATGGGTGCTTTAGCTAAGACCAGAAGCGACAAGAAGAGCGCAGATGGAAAAGCTAAGACCAGAAGCAAGAAGGGAGGCTCCCGCCTTTCCTTACCCTGGACCTGTGATATATTGACAGACAGTGCGGTAGTCTTGGCTTGTCCCGTGCATGCTGAAGCTATCCAGAAGGCGCGGGCAAGCAAGGCTTCTGAGCAAGTACAAGCTCGCACCGCCCCTGGGCATTTTTTCATCCCCTGCGCGTCGCGTGTTAGCTCCATCCGGACGAAAGCTTGCTCGAGGAAGTTGTCCTGAATGCCTGCTTCTAGCACATAGGACTTACTTGACTCATTGTGTGCATGATAGTCATGAGGCTTTGTTTTGGTGCCAGTAGTGGGCATAAACTCACCCTAGCACAGCTAAAGACTTGCGTGTTCCCTTGCCGCACTGAGCAAGGTGGTGATAGCCATCAAAGCACCCATCATCAGAGATCTTTGAGCCTGAGGCCGTGAAGAGAGCCCTGCCACGGTACGCCCGCATCAACACGCTGGCACCAGGCCACGACAACGCACGTTTTGTGCCAGAAAGCTTTCATCACGATTGCACCGTTCTGCATTACTGTTACACCTGTGTGTTTTGGGGAATTTCTCTAAGCCTGTCACCAGGCGTCACTTGGGGCAAGGTGCAGCGGGAGCTTCAAAGCAGCGGGCACGTTCTCTGGCGGCCAAGCTTGCGTGAAAAGCAAGAGGCTGCGCGTCTTCCTTCTGGGCTTGCGCCACCCAAGAATTCTAGCAACAAGAGCTTTGCTTGCAATGGAGCGCGGCCGTTCTGGAAGGGTGAGAATGCACGAAGGTGATGCGACTTGCTCCTTACGCGTCGCTTGCTAAGGGTCTACTACAGGGATGTTCATATCCCCGACCTTCTGGTGTTCAAGCCCATGGGTGAGTCCCACACCGAGGACGCGCCCAGCCCGCAACTAGTCCACGGTTGGCATTTGAGAAGCTGGGTCCTGCGTGAGGTAGAGATGTTTGATCATGGAGCTCTGATCTTTCAGCAGAAGGCATACGGAGCAAGAACTGGCTTTCACTCACCTCCTTTTCTGTTTAGAAGATTGTGCCTGTCTGCTGGTGGAGGCATCGGCTTTCCCTGCCCTGGCTTTGCAGCCGCCCAGCGGCGCTGAGGTGAATGAAGCAAGGGTGTTGGGGCTCGGGTGCCTGTCAACTCCCTGTCAAGATTTGGGGGTCTTGAGGTGGTTGACGCCTGCGCAGCTCCTGGATCCAAGACTTCGCAGCTCGCCGTCGCTTGGAGTAAACAGGCCGCCAAAGGCAGAAAGCACCGTATGGAAAGGTGTGTGGGAGACTCTGAGGCGATGATGTCAAATGAAGGGACAATCTATGCATTTGACAGAGATGCGAAGCGCTTGAAGACAATGACGAGCCTGTTGGAGCGAAGACATGTGACGTGCGTGGAGGCTCGGGAGAAGGACCTGATAGCTACATCTGCGATGTTAGCCTTTTTGCTTTGAGAGCTGACGCTGAGCCAAGCAGGACTTTTTGCAAGTTTCGCCCAAAGATCCAAAGTACCGCAACGTGACACACTTTTTGCTGGATCCAAGCTGCTCGTCTTCCGGGATGACGGCGCAGCCCATCTCGGACCCTTCTTCACTGAAAGACTTGGCAGCAAACCAGAAATCTATCATCCTCCATGCGATGTGCTTTCCTTCGTGCCAGAGAATTGCTTACTCGACGTGCTCCATCCACGAGGACACAACTGGGAGCAGCAAGCAGTAGCAGATGACCGCGTACCCTGAGATAGACTTGCTAGCCAGTGGGCAGCGCAACATCGACGCCAAGCTGTTATCCTGCAAGTGTGCCCCTTCAGGAAGAGAATGAGCAGGTTGTGCAAGAGGCCTGAGATTTTGGGAAGCTGCTGTGTTCTTGGCTCTGCCCTGCGACAGGTGCTGCAGACTAAAGAAGGGGGGCAGTATCAGCTCGAACACACACTTCCGTGGTTCTTACCTCAGATGACCCACCATTCCACTTCTGTAGCGGACACTACCAAAACCCCTGACCTTCACCACCTTGCTGTTTGTAAATGCAGGGGATCTGGGAAAAAGATCCTGAAAGCTCAGGTGGCCACGGAGGGGCCTGCCACTTTTCCCCGGCGCGGAGCACTGCGTGCGAAGTGCCTGGGAGGATCGGACAATCGGCTTCTTTGTGGCCGTGTTCACGCGGAGTGACGAAAATGCATGGCAAAGTGCTTCTCAGGGTTTGGACATGCTCCTAATTCGCCTGAGGTCGCGAGTTCAAACTACTAGTGGTGCTCATGAAGCTAGTGGCCCCCCATCACTCTGTGCAGAGGGTGAGATCTTTTACGGCATCCGCCCCGCTGAGCTCACAGGGACGAACCAGCGACATATTCCAGCAAGTAGGTCTACCAAGAAGGCGGCGAAAACAACGCACAGCTACTAACAAACATTCTTGCCGCATAACTGGCCTTCTTCCTTCCCAGACAGTTGCCGGTCGATTTTGGTCTGCACATGCCACGTCATCCATAGTTTCCGCACGTTGGTTTCATCTGATCTGCTAAGATCGCAGTTGCTGCCAGAAAAAATGTGCTACTGCCTTCGGTCTTCTGCAGCCCTCCGTCCGTTGAGGCTCTTTGACACCTTCAAGCCCGGTGGCGAAAGCCAGGCCGTGCCAGAGAGCATTGCTCGAACCCATGCTTGTTTGTCAAGTGATATCCGATGCTATAATCTGTAGTTCTGTATTAGACAAGTTTCAGGGGAGGACAAGTTCGCCAAAGGTTGGATAGCATTGGTGATGATCACGATGAGTCAGATGCAGGCTAGGATGATAACGATAACCTTTTCGCTCAATACTCCAGTTATCATGTGATTGGCATGGGTTCTCACTTCTAGTGCTCCTCGTGGCAAGCTCAGCCAGGATTACGTGTGTAAAGGTCATGGCAATGGTTTTCACCTGCGGGCCTGCGAAGAAGTCATAACCCAAGTAGAGTGGCTCCATTGACCACAGCTAGTGCAGAACGTCAAACACGCGCCGAAAGCATCTGAATGTGCTTTCACTTGCGTGCGGAAAGGTGATCAATAGAATCCTTGAGCTCTTCGCCGAAGCGTATTTCTTGCAGTGGTCGCAAAACAAGGACGCAAACTGGAAGCAAAATGTAGAAGGGTAAGTAGTTTTAAGTGCAGAAGCCCCCCCTGCCTGAGGAGAAGTCCCTACCGGCGACAGCCTACGCATCCACAGATAGCGTGCCTGAGCCAAACAGTCTATTTGGGCAAGTGCATCACAAGAAGGAGGGCATTGAGCTACAGCTGGGAATCCGGATCCCAGCAGTTTCACCAGGGAGCAGAGCTTGTTTTAAGATGTTGCTACTCCTATCGGAGGCAAGGTGAGATTGCTAAACCTGCTGGCCAGGTACTTGCAACAGCCTTCAGCCTCATCATGCTGAACACTTCCCTCCACGTAGCCTCGAAAAAGGCACTCGGGCATAGTTCGCATCAATGGAATTGAGTCATAGCAACAGCACACTCAACAGTCAGCAAGTGGCTCGCGGTTCCTGTTTGAGGCTGGGAAGTCGCCTTCCGCCTCAATGACAGCCACTGAGTTCGTGGAGAACACGCGGCGAGTTGTCGGACACTGCCTGAGACATGACTGAGCTTGGCCTGCCCTGCACGGGGATCAAAACTCCTCTGCTTGGCCAGGTGAGGAGGAAGTGCCTGCAGCTGCTTTGCGCCAGTTCTACACTGACGTCAAAGCGGTATGTGCCTTTGATTGGCCTCTCTTCATGCTTTTCTTGAACTATAGTATGTCGGGGTTATATTAGGATAATGAAAATTAAATGGAAACTACTATATTATAGGAGTTCCTATTTTATTTTCCATTATCCTAATATAACCCCAAGTTATTGTATTTCATAGGGATTACATAGGGGGATATATTCAAACAAAGACCTTTTGATGGTCTCTGAGGCTGAAATCTCCATGCAGCCTATGCGCCAGCCTCGGTGTTTTCCTTCATATGGGGGTTTACCAAAATTAGGGATACCTTTTAGGGGTCCCAATACTAAGGACTATAGTATATTGGGGTCTATGTTGGGGTTCCCCCTATTTTGGGAAACTACCATATCCCCTGTGTTCGCTAAGCCTTGTGATTCCCAGGCCCCGTGTGGCCTTCTCCAGACTGCCGGTTCAGCCGGACATTGAGGGTTGGCTGATAGCTCCACGGGCCCAAATTTTGGGGTTAGCCTTGCGAGCAATCTCCACGCCATCTTGCAGCTATATACATTGCCAGGTGTTGCTGGGCATGGAGGACCAGCGTCGTTTCTGGGCTGCGGGATGCTCAGCAAAGGCATGCCAGGGGTGCAAACCTTGAGCAGTGCCTTCCTTTCAGTGCGCGGGTGCAAGCTGCGGATGCATAAGATAACCCCCCCTTGTGAACGGCGTTAAGGTTTTGGCCCTTCAGCGCCTTTACCTCTTCTCGGACAACAGCGATGTGGATCCTGCGGATGCCTGTGACCTGAAGGATTGCGGCCATGAGCCGCAAGCTAGACGCCCTAAACCTTCAGTAGTAGTTTCCATTTTCTCCATTACCCCTATAGAACCCTTATATCATTAGAAACATGTAGCTCCATACATGGTGTTTCAAAGAAGCCTCTGACAAGAGGGAGTACACTATCCCCGGCGCTCATCTCAACTCACTTTGCAGTCCGCAGGACGCTGGCGCCGTCCAAATCATGGATGATGTGACTTGGCTTGAACCTACCCACCAGACGTGATAAGCAAGTGCAGGGCAACCTGACCACATGACCACAGCTCAGCATCGGCATGAGCAGATGCGCCAAGCATTGCAGCAAGGCCGACGCGAGAGAGCATTTCCAGACGCTGCAGGGCCGAAGGGGCAAAGGCAAATGCTTTTGCTTTCCACCACGCACAGGCCTGCTTTTGCACAGCGGCAGCTAGCTACTTACTCATGACTATCCAAGATGTGGGGCTGGTAGGTCGTGGGCTGGTTGACCCAGACATGGAGCGCAGTGGGCTTAGGGGTCTGAAAGGACGCATGTGATTGCATGTGATTGCGCCCCATGAGAACTGGTGAGCTTGGGGGGATGTTAGGGCGTGCTTTTGTCGTCAACCAGAAGGCGTGATGTTGGGGTGCTGGCTTGCACTAGCCCTTGCTTTGAATCCAGAACATGCCTCGCCTCAGTCTTCCGGAACTTGGCTCTCCAAGCTTGGACATCCCAATTCGCAGCTGATCCTGGCGGCGCCCTCAGCAAGGGGATTGCAAGCGGGGTCCTCCTTGAGCACAAGCCAATATCACATGTCCTGTTTGCAGGTGGCTGAGTCCAGCGACCTAATGGCCATGCTGGCTCTTGTAAAATGCAGTTTCTTTTTCTGTTAACCTGCAGCCACTGCGCACTGGCCAGGAGAAGTGGGTGAACCTCATTGACTGCGGGCCATATTGAACCATTGTAAAAGGAACATGTCGCAGAATCATGGAAGGCGTCACTTGGGCTTGCGTTTTTACAATGTTACATGTGCACTCAGTCAGTGAGGATGTTGAAGGCAAGGCAGTAAAGGCGGTAAAACTGTGCCATCTCATGTCTTAGGTAATTTAGCTGAAATTTGAGAAACTGCGCCAAAGCGTGCATTCCTGGCCTCAGTGGCCTGCGACAAGGTTTAAACACCGCGCCTGACATGGTGAGTCTTTTGGGGCCGCTAGACAGTGCTGCAAGGGGAGTCTTACATAGACATACAGCGCTGCAAGGGGGAGCTGGCGACTGACGGGTTTGCTTTTCAGTGCCGGCTTTTTGCATGGGTGCTCCCCAGAAGGTCTGAAGCTCTCAAGTCGCGAGTCATGTCGGCGAGGTCTCTTAGCTTACCTCTCTGCATGGCTGGCCAGCTTGTTTCACTTGGACAGCGGGGCAGCGGGGGTTCGAGGAAAAGGCACAAAAGATGATGCCTGTTGTGATTTGCCATTCATGCGGCTTTTCGCAGACCGTCAGAACCGAAGCAGATTGTGCGCTCGCTGGATCAAAGCTGCTTCTACTTAAGGCGGGCAAGTCAATCAGCAGTGCCCCAACCCACACAACCCTGCCAGCCTGCACCAAGCCTGAAGGCCACAGCTGCAGCCAGCCACCCCACGAACAAAGAACCCTTGACCCACAAGCCACACACCCACCACGACGACTCAACACCGCTCAGCCATAGACCTTTTCCTTGAAGTTTAAGCCATACCAGTCACTGCCCCATGACTCCTTACGGGTCCTAGAAGGCGAGGCAAGTTTGTTGGTGATGTGTTGCGGTACATTGCGGTCCTTGGCCTGGCATTGCAGGTGCCCGGATGGTGGCCCGGAGCAGAGGGCGGAGTGGTTCGGGTCGAGGTGCTGCTGACTTCTGCATTTCAAGCACAAGCATACTAATCAGTACTTACGCCGACTACCCTACTACCTCAAAAGCCCCAACCTGGGAATGGGGGCAGGCAGAGACCGGAGTCGCGAGCGTCGCCGGAGAAGCCGCAACGGGCGCCAAGGCCACTTCTGATTTTTGGGGCTTCTGAAGCTTGACATGAAAATCTTGATTTTTCTTGGGCGGCCCCATGATTTTATGAAATGAGCAGGGAGTTGGGGGGAGCTAGGGGAATTGCAAGGCCGGTCTCCACCGCCTCGCAGAGGCCAGGAGTTAAAGGTCTTGCGGAACTGTCTCAAAGACTTCGGTGGGGCAAACGTATTTTTAGCCTTCACTGACAGTTCAGCCAGCGGGACGCATAATTCCAGACGACCTGCCAGGTCGGAGCCACAGTGATCGTCGTCACCATGACCGTGACGGGCGCAGGCCGGCAGACTTGAAGCTAGACAGCACAGCAGACACATCCTTTTGCAGGCCGGACCGCTCACGACGACGCCCTGCTAGAGGTCGCTCAGTCTGCTTCGGCTGTCATTCGTTGCAAACTTCTGCCGTGGCTTTCGCGAGGTGGTGAAGACCATCGTAAGCGTGACGAGCGAACCAGCAGAGTCTCGGGAGGTGCATCGGTGCAAGCAGCTTGCTTTGATGTCATGACCGGCCTTTGTCACAGCTTGTTCAGGGAACCGTGCTCGATCGGACTCTGGGGACGAGCCTACTTTCAAGAGGCTCTTAGAGGCGAAGCGGGCCAAGCGGCAAGGGCGGGAGGCGAAAGCGGAAGCCCCAGCCGGGCTCCCAGAGCTTTCTCAATGTGAGGATCCCAGCAGAAGCCGTAGCGTATCATGGGTTCCGAGAGCAAACTATTTACATGTCACTGGACAAGCCTCTGCTCCCTGCAGCTGCAGGCCAGCGAAGCCTCAGGCTCACGTTCGAAGAAAGATCGAAAGAGCCGCAAGCGCAGGCTCCGGTGCCACTTTCGACATCTGCATAATATGGCGTTATGATATGAAGGGCATTTTTTGTTTGTCACTGTAGCAGGCATAGCAAGGGCTGTGGAATCCACTTCACACGTACCCTGTGGGCCCAGGCCTGCCTTTTTGGCCCATCTCCCTTGGGGGAAAGTCTTTGATGTTGAGATTGTCGGGCACTCACCTGACGACAGACCGCCGTCTTCCATAAAATCATTGGTAACATCTTTAGTTCCCTCCGCAATCAGGGCCACCAGCAGAAGCCCGCTCCAAGCCCAGAACCCTCAAGGTCGACTTTCGAAACTCCTATCATATCCAGAGCCTTTGCCGGGACAGTGCTAATTTCTCCCGGGCAGGGCATGGAAACTGCCGGGTTCTATCAGAGAGCAAAGAAAACAAGAACCATAGCCTTCAATTCCAGCGGTGTCCTACCAGCACCATCCTTTGTCGCAGCAGCGCAGTGGCAGGAGAAGGAAAGACGAGGAGGACGAGGAGTCGGAGAATGGTGAGAAGCCCGAAGCGGAGGAGAAGCAGGAGGAAGAGGAGGCAGAGGACGGGGGAGATGCCGCGCAAGATGCCGAAGACTCCCCTCAAAAGGAGGACACCGAGGTAGAGGCTGAGGAACCGGACGAGGAAAATGAGCAAGCTGAAAAGGAGGAAGACGAAGATGAAAAGGAGGAAGATGAAGATGAAAAGGAAGAGGACGAGGAGAAGGACGATGAGGAGGGCAATGACAGGGACAAGAACGAAGAGGCGGGCGAAGACAAGGAGGAAGAGTCGCATGCCGAGGAATCTCTACGTTGCTTGCTGACACTGCTCCTGTGCAACTGTCGCGGATGGTCCTTTGCGACAGTTCTTTCTCGTTTGCAAGGAGGCTGACAAAGAAGCAGAAGCTGAGCCCGAGAAGTACGAAGATTTTGCGGTTGATGCAAATGAGCTGGCTCAGTACTGGCAGCAGGAAATTGCATGTCTGGGATGGCCGTGACCCTTGGCAGTTTTCACTGGGAAATGAGCGAAATTCGCATTGAAGGAGACCTTGTCCGAAGAGGTCAAGGAGGCCGAGGTTCGGACCTCGAATGTCTTCTGCCGTGGCAGTGTTTCTAAATAGATTTTAATTTCAGTTGTATGCCCAAGGTTCCGGAGGTGCCAGCAATCGCTGCGAGACCGAAGGCGACACACTAACGAAAGCTTCTGGCGCCCCCCCAAAACTCAGAAAAGGTCATGTGCATAACAGGCGCTGCTGTTTGCCTGCAGGTTCGTCCGGCAGCAAGGAAACCGACCGTGGCAGAGACCTTGGGGAGATGATTCTAACAGAATTCCGAGCTTGATCTCCTGATTCTCTTTAATTCTTCGGTAGCAGGAAGTTCGGGGCGGTAGCTCCCTGAGGTCGCGTCTCCAGCGCGCAGCTCCTCAGCCAAGAGCCCTCCTTGCATTTAGGTTATTAGGGCTTGGGTGTTAAGTAAGGGTTTAGGATTAACGGAGGGTTTCTGGCCCAGGGTGTAGGGTTTAGCATTTAGGGAGGAGGATTCCAGGTCTTTGGGCTGAAGGTTTAAAATTTGTGTCAGTTGGCTCAGGGGTTCAGGATGCAGACTTCATGCTAAGGCTTCACTGACAGGAGAGGCTTTTCATTCCCAGACTTCACGAATAAGATAGCAGGTCACGAGCATAGGTCCACCAACAAACAAGCACCGCAGCCGAAGCAGCACCACCGGCGCGGCGGCCGCCACCGCCTCCACACCGCCGCCACCACTGAACAGTTCAAAAAGCAACGCCCGACTGAGTAGAGTCGTGTTATCCTGATGCAAGGAAGGACCACAAGGACTCCGACGAAGCCAAGGCCGAGGATGAGGAGGGTGAGGCTTGGGAAGCGCCGATCAATTTTTTTTGGGCAATCATATGGTGCACACAGATATATACGAATTCATAGGCATACATCAAAATGCACACCGATTTATGCACACATGGGGACTTGAGGGGGATTTGGGATTCCGTGAACAAAAGATACTGCAATTGATTGCCGCAAGATGTCAAAATAACCCTTATGAATTTGTGACGGAAGCAATTGTACAAGGACATGGGTGGTACTGAGCATACCAATGCTTGCGGAGCTTGAATGCCAGGGCTCTGCAGCCAAAAGCCATGGCTCTGAAAGCGCGAGCGAAGACCAGATGGGGCCTTTGCGAAACCCAGTTTGCGATATGTGCGTAGCGATGTAGCATGATGTATAGTGCAGTGCCTGACTGTGCCAAAGACATCCGAGGCAAGATAACTCAGCCAAACATGCGAAGACTGACGCAGGCGCGCAGAATCTGGTTTGCTCGCGCTTTCCTGCGATTCTACTGCCCCGAGGCCGTAGCGATGGCGGTCATGAGAAAGTTCGGATTAAGCGCCCCTTGACTGAGTCAAACTGGGGCAGCTGAAGCGCACATCAGCCCACTAGCTTCCAGCCTAGGCAAGAAGCGGAGAAGGCTGGACGCTCAGCAGACCCCAGGAAGCTGGACGAAGCCTTGGTGCCAAAGTGAGACAGAACATCATGCAGTCTTTCTTAGGAAGAAGCGCGGGGAGGATGGAGACCGTAAGGCCACAGACACAGAGGCAGGGTGTAGGATAGGAGATGTTAGGAGGTGAGCCACAGAAATGCGTCACAGATGGTCTCACGGCCCAAAGCTGAGGAGAGGAAGTCCGAGCATGCTGACGTGGTCGCTGCCTTCTTCTCCGCCTCATTGCTGTTTCAAGCCGTGGAAGGTAGAACCTCAAGAGTTGGCTTTGTAAGCCAAGGTGGCGATGGTCGTAGCAGCAGCCGACGAGCTTGCAGCCGGCGAGGTTTCCTCCTTCATGCGAAGGATGACAGGTACATAGGCAAATGCAGGGTAGCTGAGCGCTGGCAGGCCGCAGAGCACAAGGCGCGGCAGCGGACGGAAAGTCCGGACCAGAAGGACTTTAGTTTGAAATGGCGAGCTGAACGCCGGCATCTCGTGATTAGTCGGCGGAGAACCTGTGTAGTTCACGGAGCTCTGCAGTCCCACATTCCATAACTGGCAGAAAGTGGGGATAGGGATCAAAGAAGAAGATGAAATAAGGATCAGCAGAATTCAGCCAAGATAGTTCAGCTCTCTGGAGCCGAGTGTCTTTGATTTCTTATTGAGCCTTAATTTGTATTCGATCTTCCTTGGGAGATGGAGCTCTTGATTTTTTTTGTTGATTGTTTCTTCATTTGGCAGTTGAGGTCTCGAGGATAGCGTCTTTGATGTTTTGATCCTTCATTTGTTTTCGATCCCCCTTAAGAAATTCAGCACGCGTGTCAAAATCCATCTGAGTCGTGAAGCCTCCTCGCATTCGGGCTTGAAATTGAGCTATCGCGTGGAGTGCCGTGCCAAACCCTGCCCTCCTGTGAAACGTACTCACGTGTTCGTGGCATATCCGCTAAAGGAAGGAAGGAGCAAGCAAGGAAGGAAGGACAAGGGCCAAGGCAGTATCACTGATGATGGTAAGGATTCTTCTCTTCTTCACAAACAATTATGACCACTGTTGCTCTTACTATTGTTGATCATGACTATTCTCAGTCTTCTTAATGTTATCAGTCGGCAAACCCTCGGAACTCTTAACACTAGAATGAGGGTCCTATTAAAAAATGTCCCAATAAAAGTTGCGAAATGTTGCGAAATGAGGTGCCATAGTTTAGTCTTAAGCATTCCAAGGGCTTAACGGTCGTAAGGGGGGTGTAACAGACCATGAGCACGTGGAGCAAATTAATC